GGAATGCCTACCCCCATGCAGTCAAACATCCATGTATAACTCTGACCACCCCAAAACAACTACTAATAGCCTACTGTTGACCAGCAACCTTACTGAGAACATGGTAGTCATTCAATACATATGTGTAAGCTGGATATTTACTATATTCTTACAAAGCTAGAGAAAAGAAAATATTAAATAAAATCACGAGAGAAAATACATTTACAGTACCATATTGCATTTATCCAAAAAAATCCATGCGTAGGTGGACCCATGAAGTTCGAACTCGTGTTCGAACCAATATGGAATCACTTAGCTATATACCTAAACCTGATACATTATATGTCAACTATATGAAGGAAGGAAGGAAGGGAAGGAGGGAGGGAGGGAGGGAGAGAGGGAGAAAGGGAGGGAGGAAAGAGAATCCTTCTCCATCTCTCCATTTTGTTTTCTTCTGAGTTGCCTCTCAGGCAGTCGCTTGACCCTGAGTGGAAAAGGCTGCCACCAGGAACTACAGGCTGTTATCCTACCACCCTAAGAAACCCAACACAGGGCGCCTGGGTGGCTCAGTGGGTTAAGCCGCTGCCTTCGGCTCAGGTCATGATCTCAGGGTCCTGGGATCGAGTCCCGCATCGGGCTCTCTGCTCAACAGGGAGCCTGCTTCCCTTCCTCTCTCTCTGCCTGCCTCTCTGCCTACTTGTGATCTCTGTCTGTCAAATAAATAAATAAAATCTTTAAAAAAAAAAAAAAAAAGAAACCCAACACAAAGAAAAAATATTAGGGTGAAATTACCTCTGACATAGGTCAAAAATGGTTGACTGATGGCTATTTCATATGTTTTGACCCAAGAGTTCCAGAGTCCCCAAGGTCTAAATTTCCTTGGCTCAGCTTCAATGTCATGCCCACTGTAATCCAATCACTGTGGCCACTAGAATAGACCACTCTTTTTGACCACATCTGAGACATATGTCCATTCATGAGTCATGTCAGAAGAATTGAGGTCAGACCGATTCCTCAAAGAAAACTTAAGGAGCTATTATCAGAAAAGGAAGGAATAAAAATGGAGGAGGAAAAACATCAGATGCCCACTGTGCATAAAACAGACACAAAATGTGTCAATTTACCATGAAGGTATTGAAGACTCACTTCAGCAAACCTCACCTGCACAGGCTTTTTCAAAACCATTTATCTAGTTTTATATTTACATTTTTCCATTTTTTTTCTTATGAGTTTTATTTGCACTCTGACCCAAACACAGATCCAAACACAGAGGGTACAGTAACCAGTGCAAAATACGCTTTCTTGTGCTTTATTTCCGATACAAAACAATGTGGCAGGGTTCTTTTTCTTTAAAAGGGGGCCTCCAAATTATATAAACTTTGGGGCCCACAGACTGTGGAAGTGCAACTAGTAAAAATACTCAAACCTATTTTTGAAACTAGTATGTATTCCCAGTGTATTGTACTTCCTTCTGTGTTAAGTGGAAATAAAGCATTTAGTAGGTAGTTTGCTCACTAAATTCTTCTCAACAACTCAATCTCTTTTGACACTAACAGGAAATAACCCGATCATTCCCTTCAAATCTCCCCAACTTCTCAGAGCTCGGCATCTTCATGAATATTTGCCTGGGTCACAGACCAACACAAATAAGGTCCTTTCTCACTTTTGCTCTCACCTTGAGCTTCACTCCCAGATGAAACCTGCCTCCCATCTGGGCATCTCTGGGTCTCAGTGTGGTTCCTTATAATAGATTTTTTTTTTAAGATTTTATTTATTTACTTGACAGAGATCACAAGTAGGCAGAGAGGCAGGCAGAGAGAGAAAGGGAAGCAGGCTCCCTACCAAGCAGAGAGCCCGATGCAGGGCTCAATCCACGACCTGCCCCGGGGATCATGACCTGAGCTGAAGGCACAGGCTTTAACCCACTGAGCCACCCAGGCGCGCCAGTGTGGTTCCTTTTAGCCCCAATCTGAAGAAACTTCACAGACACTCCTAGTCACTCCAAACTAACATTTATTTTTAAAAATTGCAAATCAAAATGAATTCTCTGAAATTACCAAACAGAGAATGTGAAATGTAAGGCGGATCTTATACTGGAGTGAATCTAGGATAGGAGATGGCGTCAAAGCAAATAAACCTACAGAGGACCCATTATTAGGGCTGTGCCGAAACTGGGTCTGGACGACCAGAAAATGTGCCCTTCTTATTGGGATTTCCAACTGCACTTTACCCTTCGATTTGGCAGTCAGACAGCCCCAGGAATGTAAATTCATGCTGTTCCGAGTGTGGGGGAAGGTGAGGGAACTAAGCCTGCCTGCTGCTATTCTGATTACAGCATTTGTCCCTGGGAGAGACAGCTTTGGCACGGACGCTACTTTTCTCCCCTCTCCGGAAAATGGCTTGGGCTATGTATCAGGGAAGGCCAAGGGGCATCAACAAAGGTAATTTCTGCTTAATCCCCCAGCAGGTTTCCAAATCTGTAGTCCTTCAGATGTGGCATTGAGTTTGAATCCATTTTTTCCCTCCCCCCACCTCCTCCAAGAAATATGGCTAGAAACCGGGCAGCACAATTATGTCGCCTTTTTTCTTTTAATTTGTTGAAATTGTCTCTAGGCAGAAGAAGGGGGGAGTCAAAACCAGATGGTTGTAGTTGGAGTAGAAGCCTACTACTAAGGAGCTTTGAGACACTCAAATCTGGTGACAGCCACTATCACCCCGCAGGGAAAAGGAGGAAACAAGAGAAAGGTGGCAAAAGATTTTCCGAAGAGTGACCATCAGCATCCTGTTTTCTTTATCCTCTGACCACACACATGTAAAACGGAGTCTCCTTTCCTTTAATTCCCCAAAGGGCTACCAACCTTGGGTTAAAGCCGACTTTAACTCCTGGGGGTGGAGGGGTGGAAAGGGTTTGTTACTTGTTATGAAAGGGGTTTATATTATCACCAGGACTTAAAACAGTTTACAAATGAGTATTATCCATTCTTCCTTAAGGCTCCTTAGCCTGCCTGTAACTACTTACTCAGCATCCCCATCCTTCACCACGTGCTAGCAAATCTCACCAAATCATCTGAAGTGTTTCTCAACTTCTCCCTACACACAGAAGCACAGAGAAAATGGAAACTGAGGAAAGAGGAATAGTCAGAGTTGGCTAAGAGTTATCTTTTATCTTTTATCTTCTTTTATCTCCCAATATTTGGAGAGACTGCCAACAGAAGAGCTCCCCACCCTGGTCTCCAAGTCATCCAACACCTGGAGGGAAGGGAGCACACCAAGATTCTCAATCTTTGTAAAATACTAGGCAACTACAACTGAATAGCCATCCAGATGTCCACCTGTTAGGGTTTTTTCCTTCCCCAACAGCCGGTGTCCCCTTCACCACTAGTTCAACTCTCCAGCAGCAGCTGGGTGTTCTGGAATTCCTCTCCACCCTGCCCCTAACTGCCTGGAGTTAGCATCAGACTCCATGGTTTAAGGGCTCTGTCTCACACAACTGCCTACACTCCAGGGACCGACATGAGTACCAGGTCCACAGATTGCCCACACTCTGGTCGCACCTAAGACCCATTCAGAGGCTCCCACAAACCCCCCCCCCCCCGCCCTCAGATTGCATAATTTGTCAGCCTGACTCAAAGAACTTAGGAAAGGGCTTTAGTTACCAGTTTACTATAAAGAATGCAATGAAGGAAGAGATGCCCAGGGCAAGGTATGGGGGCAGGGGATGTAGAGCTTGCCATTTTCCCAAACCTTCCACACCTCCAACCTGGAAGATCCCCCAATCCCACTATGTAGTGGTTTTTATGGAGGTTTCATGATGTGAATATGATTTATAAGGTTACTGGCTATTCATGATTACATCAATCTTTAGCCCTTCTCCTCTTCGAGGAAGTTGGAGGTGGGACTGAGAGTCCAAACGTCTAACCAATTCTTAATCTTCCTGATGACAGAACACTCCTACCGCCCTTATCAACTCAGGAAATTCCAAGGCTTTTAGGAGCTCTGTGAAAGGAACTGGGGACAAAGACCAAATATCTTTCTTATCCCACTCCTTTATGTTTACCTATCTTTTTAAAAAAAGGTGGGGGGGACACAATCCTAGAGATACCCTCCTTAAGGTGTCAGTTTTCCTATTTCTGGCACTCCCTCTGTGTGTACTCTCCATATCCTCTTAAGAGAGTGACCAGGAACGTCTGATTTGTTCTTCATGAGGCTTTGGGACACATAATTAGTTCCCCTGTAGTAGACCTCTTTATCTGTCCCCTCCAAACAAATCATTCATGAGAACAAACATTAGAGCAGAATGCCAACTCCCCCTCTCTTCTTCCCACAAGAATCTTCACATGTCAGTGGTAAAAGTGGACTTAAATGGCCCAGCAACTCACTCCCACCCCCCCCCCTTTACACAGGCACCCCTTCCACTTTCCTGGACCACCTCGCCAGCCTCTGGTTCACTGATGTCTCATAAGGGAGACCTGGTGGCTCGCTCTGGTTATGTCTCCAACGGGAAACAGAATGGTCTGGAAACTCTGGAACACAAGACCAGGAACGTTACTCGTGAAACCGGGAGGAGGACCAATTTGACTGAAACTGTGCGTTCTGCCCTACCGGCTGCTAGTCCCCTCCCTGTACGCCCAACAAAGACAAAACAAAAACAAAAACACAACTACACCAGCAACACACTCAGGGAAACAAGGCTTTCCTTTTAGGTCAATCAAGACATTTTCCTTTTGAATGAAAAACCACGCTTGCTCCTCCGTTTGGGCTTTGATTATCTGTGGCCCCCGGATGGCCTGAGATGGTGAGGGCCTTCAACGCACACAGGTTGGTTTGAAAACCATGTTTAGGTCCCAGCATGTGGCAATGTGCTCCACTCTGATGACACTTTGCGCTTCTAAGAATAGCGCAGATGAAGTAATATTGCAACTGACGTTCCCGGGGATTTGATTGGGTAAGTGCATAAACTGTGGAGGGAGAAGGGGGGGTGGGTTCTCTGGCCGGATCACATTAGTATTCCCGTCCTATCAATGTGCGGGGCAGCGCACAACGTCAGACGGACCGATTCCCGGCGTCTGCCAGTCCCGCCACGGATTCATTTGGGATCCTCAAACAGATGAGCCCGTAGAGACGGGGGATCAAGGCAGCCTATTAGAGCCGATTGCCTGCTTCGGGGACTGCCAGCCCTTCCAGGCCCGGCGACCGGGGGGAGGGAGGGGAAAGACGACGGAGCGCCGCTGCGGGAAGACAGTGAAGCCGGAGCGACACTCGCAGCCCCCCCACCCCCACCTCACAGCGCAGGCTTTGAAAGCTGCTCCCCCATCTGAATGGAAACTCAGAACCGCCTGGCGGCGCGTTCCTCCTGGCCCAGCGTTGCGACCCATGCGGAGGGGAAGGTAGTGCGAGCCCGCGCCAGCGCCCAGCTCCCGGGACAGGGCCGGCAATGCTGCTGAGCAGAACTTGACCGAGCCCCTTCCTCGCTGCTTAGTGGAAGCGATGCTGCACGGCACAGCCAGCGCTTTCCCGGCTCTCCTTCAAGCTGAAGGTTACCCACCCGCGCAGCCAGCCCCAACCCTGTGAGCGCCGCGCCTCGATTCCCGGCTCCGGCTGCTTGGCGGCGCGCAGGGCAACGACCGGGCCGCCCGCGCCGGGGCGCACTGCACCAGCGGCTTCGGCTTGGTGGATGTGTATGCATGAGTTCTGCACCGAATGGGCGCAAAAAGCGCCCCAGCCGGTCCACCCGCTCCTCGATCTTCCAGATCAGCAAGCCCCCGCTGCAGAGCGGGGATTGGGAGCGCAGGGGCAGCAACTCCGAAAGCGCCCACAAAACCCAACGAGCCCTGGACGACTGCAAGATGGTAGGTGAAAACTGCGCCTTTTTGTTTCTTTTTCTTTTTTTCTTTTTTTTGGAGAGGAGGTGCTGGCATCTTGTATGTTAATCGTTTGCTTGACTGCCAGCCACTCCCCCACCCTCAGCTCCTCCATGCCGATCACGTGCACATGCACTATTTTTAAATCTGCAGTCCCCAGATTCGGGGTGACACCCGGGTCGTAATGTCCCCGCAAAGAAGTGCCACGGCAAGGGTCTTAGGGTCAGCGGCTGTAAGTCATGCCTCTACCCCCTCAGAGAATGGTGGATAGGAAAGACACGGTGAAGTGGCTTGCTCACCAGGGAGGGAGAGGATGGGAAGGTGGGGGTGCTGCTTTGTGGGGAGACAGCAGCAAATAAACCCAAACAGAGCACACTGGGGCGCTGCAGAGGGGACGAAGGTTCCAGCGCAAAGGCTGTGGCCGGTCTTCCGGTCAGGATCCTAAGCCAGTCTCTGGTTCAGTGGCCTGGGAGGAGGTGAACCGTTTCCCTATTGCAACCTATCTTTGGCCTTCTTCCCCACGCAACTTAAAATCCTTATCTTAGCTGTAGTAAAGGGGAGCATTATATGTGAGAGTTCCCAGCATCAAGCTCTAGTGACCTGGGAGTGGCATATGCTCTTGCTCTTCAGAAACTGAATTGGGGGTGGGGGCGGGGGGGGGCGCCGAGAGGACGTCTGGAAATAGAGCTTCTGCGCCGGGACTTACTGATGAAAATAAACACTCGCCTTGGACAAAGAGAAACTTACCATCTTTGTACCTTGATCTTTAAGCAGTCTGTAGCTGGAGACTTGTGGAGTTGGCTGAGGGGTCACTGAAAACCCATGTTTGTATACACCCAAATAGGAAACGTTCCTGAAAGAAAGTCAATTCTTTTCCAGCTTGTCCAGGAGTTCAACACGCAAGTGGCCCTGTACCGAGAGTTGGTCATTTCTATCGGGGACGTCTCTGTCAGCTGCCCCTCACTCCGGGCGGAAATGCACAAGACCAGAACCAAAGGCTGTGAAATGGCTCGTCAGGCACACCAAAAACTTGCTGCCATCTCAGGGTAGGAGACTCTTGGCATTATTTTTGGTCATTCATATACTGATGCATGGATGCTGATAGTGATTTCTGGTGGTCAAGACCTCAGAAGTGATCTCTGCAAATCTGGGGTTTTAACCAATCACCCTGAGCCAGGACTCTTTCGAGAGCTGTAGACAGACTAACTAGGTGCCAAATTACAATCTGAAGGTTGTGTGATTCTTAAATATACATATATTCAATATCTGGGTCATTACGTGACTTTTCTTTTTTAAAATTAACTGGCAGTATGCTGTCCACATATCCGGACGCAGGGATTCGGAATTTTTTTGCAGAATGTTTGGCTGTCAAAATGAAGTTAAGTCATCACGCCTCGAGATTATTTGTCATCTGCTGAACATCTACGGCACAAAAGGCCAGTTCAGTAGAGAGAAAATCTTTGCTAAATCCTAGATTGACTAAACTATTTATACCATGAGATAAATTCCTGTGATACCATTTAAAATAAAATCTCTAAAATAAAGTCTTGGATATAAATTACTCTCCTCACTGTAGTGTTGAGAGGAAAAGTTTTAACAGAAGAAAATTTGTATGAAGACTGGGGAAAATTCACAAATCCATCTAAACCTAGGCTGTTCTTGTGCCCCTCCCCATTATTTTTATCTCTTTTTGTCCCCCTTATGGGTCCCGAGTCCTACTTTAGGTGCTAATACAGTGAGTAGAAACTTCTCCTCTGAGACCCCATCTACTTCTTCCTGATCTCTCAATATCAGTAAAGATGTTAGTCATGGATTTTGTCAACAGTTACTACACAAGTAAGAACACAGAGTGAGGAAACACAGGAATCCTTATAGAAATGCATTAAGTGTTTGAGTCCATCTGGCTATAACCTTTATCTGTTTATCTGTGTATGTCTGTATCATAATCAAAGTTCAAGTCTATTAGACTGATAATGTTGCAGATTGATCATGTGTAGGAATTGAATCTAATTATCCATTTGAAGAAATTACTCTGTCATTTTTAATGCCAATAATATATGGCTGATAATATGTATCGTGACTATTGGTATATACAGATTAGAAAGCCCTATGTTGCCTTTCTCAGTAACTGCATTTAACAAGTGGCATTTTATATCAAGAGAAAAGACACAGTATCTAATGTCCTTGAGATGAGACAAAAAGTGTATTACAAACCTATTTCATTTGGTAGAAATAGTTAGAACCCTCATCCTTTTCTGTTTTAACTGTTACACTGTGCCTAACAGGAAGTGAATCTGGGATTCCATCTAGAAGGTGGAAAGGGATTCAGTGTTTAAGGAATTCGGGGAAGAAATGCAGCTGTGATAAATCCCAGACAAGAAGGGAAGTAAAACAATCAGAAACACAAAGGGGAACAGTGATTCCCTTTGTAGAGAAAATGATTCAAAAGGGAAAACAGATGAACAACAGGAAATGTTATGCCCAGAGCTAAAGAGTAGCACCTTTGTCAACTTTGTGTCCAAGACTGTACGATGAGGTTATATTCAGGACTGGTCTAAGGAGAAACTCAAACGGTGACAAGTTCTAATCACAGAAGATAGACTGGAGAAAGAAACAGAGTTCGATTTAGTCTGCATTACCAAACACAAGAATTTCAGTCCTTCCAAAGTTTGAGGAAAGGAGGAGTCTGAAACTACTGGCTCAAAGTTGAGTTTTGAGGATTTGAGATGGATTTGATATACTCAGGGGTTGGTAGCCTCTTGCTACTTACTTTTATGTTACCGGAGAGTTGATATCATTGGGAGCAGTTTGCTAAGACTTAGTGGGGAAAATATGTCGTTCTTAGAGCCTTGCAAAGATAAGGCCTACTCTGTACAGTGTTCTAGGAGAGAATCTGAAACATTTTCTCCTTAAAATAATAAATACAATTTAACCTTCTTCCTTAAAAAAAAAAAAAAAAGACAGCATTCTGACCGAAGGAAATCCCTTTAGCTTCTTACCACCTGGGTTTCATTAATGAAGGATGTGATGATTCTTCTCGGTGCAATTCTGTTCCTAACATTGCTAGTTATGTTGGCTCTCATGTCAAGTTTAATGTAAAAGCTGGTAGGGAGACTGTAGCATTCACCTTAAACTCTGATGCAGGGTTAAGAAAAGCAAAGGCTCCTGGGGAATGTAGAAACAAAGCCTAGATTTCTTGAGCTCCCATCACTTGCCAGCACAATCCAGATAATTCATAGAATAAACCTCTGAGGGAGAGATGATGATTATCCTTATTTTTACAAATGGGTCTCAAAGAGGTTAAGGAACTTGCCCAAAGTTACACAACTCAGAAGTGGTAGGACTGTGATTTGGCCCCACGTTGCATGCTTCTGAAATCCATGATCTTTCCTCTACATAATGCTGCCACTTGAAAAAGTATTATGTAAAAAGAAATGAAATACAAAAACATACTAACATATGGGTGAATCAGAAGAGTTTGCTAAATCAAAGACAGCAGTTACAAAATGCCACATTATTATATGATTCCTTTTACATGAAATGCTCAGAAAAACCATATCTATACACCTCAAAAAGGAGATTAGTGGTTGCCTAGATCTGGGGGTGGGAACAGAGAGTCACTGCAAATGAGCTTGAGGTAACTTTCTGGGGTGATGGAAGTGTTCCAAGATTGAACTGGTGATGATTGTACAACTAAATAGTTACTAAAAATCATTGAATTGCACATTCAAAATGAGTGAAGTTTATGATATGTAAAATATAACTCAGTAAGTGTCCTGTGAAAAGGTATGATCACCATCACCATGAATAATAACACTTGGCCTTATTCTTTTTTTTTTTTTTTAAGATTTTATTTATTTATTTAACAGACAGAGATCACAGGTAGGCAGAGAGAGAGACAGGAGGAAGCAGGCTCCCCGCGGAGCAGAGAACCCAATGCGGGGCCCGATCCCAGGACCCTGGGATCACGACCTGAGCCGCAGGCAGAGGCTTTAACCCACTGAGCCACCCAGGCGCCCCCACTTGGCCTTATTCTTTTCTACATACACACCTTTTAGTGAAAGGGGTGGGAACTATAGGGATTGGGAAACAGAAAACTTGGCTCTCCGGGCATGCAGCAAGATGCCAGCCTGACACCTGTCACCTAAACTCCAGTGCTTTGCTTTTGAGTAGGAACATAGGTGGGACAAAAGTAAGACTTGGAGGAGTAAATGAAATGACTTATTTCTTAACCAGCACAGATCCCTCCTTTCCTGTTTATCACTTGGCACTGAAGCCAGAGGAGGGAGACTGGGTTGAAGGTAGGACAGAGTAAAAAGAGGACGAGGCAAGATAAAGAAGAGGAGAAAAGCCCATGAGTTTTGATTAAGCCAGAGATGCTTAGACCCCTCCATCCTTAAATGATACCCTCAGGGAATGGTGACCACAAGAAAACAGACGTCTCTCTCACTAGCCGGCCCTGGGAAAGAAGGCCATCATCACAGACATCTTTACAACAGCTTTTCAAACTGTGTCTAGATCAGCCAAAGTTGCAGTATATCCTTTTCTTTCAAAGACAACTGATGTTTTCTGGACAGAGCCAGCCAGGTGAACCCCCAGTCTCTTCTGCCTGGTTTGAGTGACCACAGCTACTGTCCCTTTACGATGCTGATCCTCTCATTGGTACTAAAGCTAAGAGGGGCCTCAGGGATCCCTTGCTAGAATGGTCCCCAAACTTGTTTTAGCTGCAGAATCTTCCTTCCATCCACATGTGCAAAGTCAGACTTAGAAGGCAGATTTCAAGTGGCATTGCTGTGCCCTGCTGCGTGTGTGTGTGTGTGTGTATACATACACACACACATCAGGGGTAGGTGGCTATCAGAGCCAGTGACTTTGGACTTCCTTCCGAAATACCTCTGAAGAATCCCTAGGCCTTCAGGGCACAGAGTGTACTCATACAGCACCATTTCCTTGTTTCGTATTTGAGGAGATTTAGAGGCTTTCAAGTGGCTTTAGGGACAACTTGGGCAAGTGTATGTGAAGACTTAGCATTTAGGCAGACCTCGGCAGAGAACCATCTTCTGTGTCCTTGATGGAACTATTTCACTGAATCTCGATTCCCTTCTCTTTGTCAACTCGCGATCATGCTCCCCACGGAGTAGTTGAGAGGGTCTGTGGGGCCAGGTAGGTGACTCCCAGCCTTCAGAGGTTACTCTGCCAATCCAAGGCTGCTCTAAGACCGGAGCCCATGCCCATCGCTCCGTGGTCTGGCACCAGTTCCATCAAACATGTCCTGAGAACCAAGAGAAAAGAGCACAGTGCATGAGCACAGGCTAGGAACGGCCCCAGAGGAGCCAGAATCCTCCAGCAGATGCTGGGAGATGATGCTGTGGCCGGTGGGCTGGGCGTGGGGCAGACAGGCACACTGGCCTAAGTACACAGACTTTGCCTGTGTTCAAATCTCAGCCCTGTCTTTTTACAAATAGTGTAACCTCGGATAAGGGTAGATACTGTCCTTCCCTGCCTCATTTTCTCATCAGAAAATGGGGTTAATAGCTAATAAGACTGAATCATACAGTATTGTTAAGGACTGAAAGTGAACATACATCAAGCACTCAGAAGACTGAGCAGCACGTGGATACACTATGATGAAATTCAGACTGAGTTCAGGTAATTATTCATAAGACATGCAAAATTCAGCACATGATACACTTATATGAAAAATAAATGTATCCATCAAATATTTTTCAAATACTTTGGTTGAAATAAATTTTTGCTTATCTTAGTTCCTTACATTATGTTTGGAGGAATCTTCTAGGTTGAAGCTTCCCAGATGGCTATCAAAAGAATTTTTTTTTTTTTTTTTTTGAGAGCACGATTAGAGGGGGGAGACAGAGGTAAAGACTATCTCAAGCAGGCTTCCACACTCAGCATAGAGCCTGACGTGGGCCTTGATCTCACAGCCCTGAGATCATGCCTTGGGCCAAAACCAAGAGTTAGATGCCCAACCAACTGGGCCACCCAGGAGACCCAAGGCTTCTTTAATACCTTAAAAACAATATGGATA